GATTCTGCCTAGCGAGAGATTGCTCACAGAAGTAGCTGCTAAATTTCTTCTTTCCATGCTTGACCTCTGATCCTTACTGCTATAGCTATGGTACTCTCAGTGCTAGGGAACATAACAGTGCCAAAGCTATATAGTGTGTTCTTATTTATATATTTGATGTGGGAAATGAAAACTAATTCCACCACTCTATAGATTCAGGTAGGTTTCATGGAGTTTTAAAACTTTTTATGAAAAAATAAGCTGACTCACATTTTAATGACATTTATTCTTTTCTTGATTGAAGCATCTTCCTATTAAACATTTTAAATTTGAAATAAATATTTCAGAGAAGTTTTCTGTTCAGCTTAAAAACAAACAAACAAAAGAAAACCCCCAAAACTTCTGACCTATAATTAGAATTGCTTCTTTCTCTGTAAATTATAAGGCAATTCTAATTGCTAAATAAGTTTGGGTAGGAGGAGAGATGGGGGGAAAATAAGCTCATAGTAAACTTTGATTTTCATTCTTATTTTTAACTTAAAATATTGGTGTTAGGGATGAGTGCTGAGTTTGATTTCTGTTGAAGATGATGTAACTATTTTTGCTAGTTATTTATCCTCAGACTTCTTTTTAAGAAGAAAAAAAAAACAGTTAAAATCATTGAAGGGGAGCAGTTTATCAGTTACAGACAGTCTGCTGTCCCCTGGGAACTCTAGGAGATCTGGTCATTCTCTGGATGAATGAAGTGTTYAGTGCTGTGCTGTTTTACATAGTGTTTTCATGAATGATCTGAAGGAGGAAGCAGAAAGTACATTAATTACATCTGCAGATGATACACAGCCAGAGTGCTGCAGCAGCTGGTGAATGGCAAGAAGTATAAATTGATCCTGAGAGATTTTAGTAATGTGCAGGAATTATCTAAATGAGATTCAACTTACAAAAATAGTTAGTACACTTAATGGGAAAAAAAAAGATAGCAATCACAGATGTGTTGTATATAAAATTAATTTAGTAATTAATTTAGTCAAGTGTTAAAGATGAGCTTTCACTCATGCACTAAGGAAAATCTATTTATCTTGAGTTCTGACTCAGTAACTGTTWTTAATGCCTTCTTGACCATTTAGTCACTTCTGTTGGGTCTTACCAGAATTCATTCATGAAGGATGAATATCACTCCTCATTTTAGCTGCCTACAAGAAAAGCAATATTAAAAAAAAAAAGCCTTATTGCCTCCTTTTCTTACTGTGCCTTCTTTTCAAAGATTCTGTTTKATCAGCATTCTGTTGTAATCAGTGCTGCAAATTACAAGTCTATCCAGAACTCAAAATCCTTACACTTGAAATTTTAGTATTTTTTCTGTCTCTTTCCTCCTTTCTGTCTGCTGCTTTACAGTTTGGGTCCCAATAGGACTTTAGTGAGAAAGAGTACCTAGATTTCATTTTCTTTATAATATTTTATGAATGGTTAGTACTTTGCCTAGATACTTCAGAAATGACATGAATTTGGCTGCTTTTTTGGCTTATCAGTCTCTCAGCACCAGGCACTTTAYGGAAGCGAATGCCAACCCGTTGTAATTTGCTCAGATAACAATGTTACTATTGTTAGCAGTTAGCATTTCTGTCTGCGGAATTGGCAGTATAGTAGCTCATTGTAACAAATAGCTTCACGTTGAGCTAGTGGAGGAAAAACACTGCTTATTGTACTTTGTATAAGATTCTGTATAACGAGAGCAAAGCAAAAAATATATGCAAAAGCATGTTCCTTTTGGGTAGATTAGGGCCTTGTAGCCCAATAAAACTGAATGTATTTTGCACTGACCTGCTGGAGACATCCAGAGTGAGTGCTTCTAAAGCTGTATTTTGGTAACAGATAGCTGGGAGAAATGAGAAAGAAAAAAATGATGCAGAAGAATAATTATTTTGCAGGAGTGTCAGGTTTTTTTTKTTCAGATGCCGTGTGAACATCTGCCCAAGCAAATGCCTTCTTTACTTAACTTTCGTGGATCTGCTAGAAGCAGTCCGCTGCTAATAAAATTCGGAAATTCTTACAGTTAACAGTTTCCCATAAGAAATAAAATAGTCACTGCTTTATAAAGACTAAGTTCTACCTGGCACTGTGCTGGTTGGTATGCAAGCTGTATAAGGAGCTGCTTTCAGTTTCAGCCCTTTCASGGCAAGATTGAACTTTGAAATGAACACCTAGAGAGAGAGTCAGCCAGGGCAATGTGTCGCCAGGGGTGTAGGAGAGGTGGCCAGCACCTCCTCTCCGCCTGGCACACCAGCAGCAGCTAATCAGGCTGGAATGTGTTTCTTGCCTCTGCTGTCTGCAGTGCAGCCTCTCCCCCTGCTCTGCTTTGGGAATTCATCAAAGAAAAGATGAGTGCCCAAAGAGCCTGGCTTGATTTTCTTTTTTTTTTTTTTTTCTTTTTCTTTTTTATCTTTTTTTTTCTTTTTTTCTTTTATAATAAGAGATGGTCTTTTTTTCCATACAGAGGTTAAGAAATCTTTTCATGACAGAGTTCCCAGAGGATTTACTTGGCAGTTTCAGAGCTCCACTTTGTACAAGCACACCTGATTTATACTACTTGTTTAAACAAGAGACTGGATTGGTGTTTGTTAACAATCACATACTTCTGAAATGTCTAGCTGAGAATTTGGTATGGTTTTGACTGTGAGTAGACCCAAGCTTTCAGGTGAAATATATTGTCATTCTCTTGTTTTAGAAGGAGTTCTTTTTTTATTGTCTGTACTGTATAAACTGTAAGTTGGGCAATGTGACTTGTCCTGATTATTTGCCTTTGCCTTATTTTGACTGTCTTGAGAGTACAAGCTAAAAACATTTAGCTCTTCTTCCTGTTGCCTTTGCACTATGAGAATGTATAAGACTACTTTTCTGTTTATCTATGCTAGTGTGCTTCTCTATCTCTGTGGCTAGTATTTAAGTGCGGCATGAATTCTTTATCCATAGAGCTTGGTGGTGGCTTGCAAGTGATGAAAAACAGTTTCCTTTACGCGAATGTCCATCCTTGTTAATGCTGTCAAACAGCTAGCGTGATATCCAGGGAGTACACGTCACTCTGTGGGTTACTGATAATGTAATCTTACTTCCCAAAATAAATCAAATGCATCTTTTAACTATTACAATTAACTAATATTATCAAATGTACAGGAGCTAAAGAAAAATAGTATGTTACAGGCTGTACACRTTTCATGGGTGGCTGCAGAGCCTCCCACAGATAAATTATCTAAACTAGGTTTAAGAACTGTTATTTGGTTCAAATAATACTTTAAAATCCTTGTGAGGAGTTTTTACATGGACTTTYTGGCAAAATTTTACAGATAACAGTAATTAACTCCATTTTTTAAAAAGTGCTAACAAGTGCTTAGTATTCTTTTCATGAATTACTTTAATTATTTACCATATGCACCTGAGTAAAATGGATTAATGTGAGGAGAAAAGTGAATGAAATTGAATTTATTCTTCATCGTCTTATTATTGTGTGTGAAATGCAATAATGCAGATCATACTCTTCCCTAGAATGTTTCACTTSTTTTTTTCAAAGATAGTATTGCCCTGACTCTTCAAATTGAAAAGAGGAATATGCTTCATTTCATAGAGAAATAGCACAGCAGTTCTGTGAATCCTTTCCAAATTTCCTGGATGAGAGAGCACCTGGTCTCTGTTCAAGTGCTCCTCCCTAATTCTACACTCCAAGCATTTCCAAGTAAAGTCAAGTCACCTGATGCATCCATTGCTGAAAAAAATGGTTCCATAGAAGGCTGTGTTTTGTTTTGTTTTCTTTTCTTTCAATACAGCCCAAAATGCTTGTCTCTAGAGCAGCTCTCTGAACTGGCTTGTTGACAAGTTGGGCAAATAAATGTCCATGCTGCCTTAATGGAGAAGTGAGCACGTGCTGCTAGTCTTGGAGAGAGGTTTCAGAAATGTGTTTATGGCTGCTGTAGGCTGGCACAGCTGTGGAAGTGCACCTCAGATAGTTTATATTTCTCTTCATCAACCCTCTTGAGAGCACCAAACTCAGGCCCTTCATCTCTGGTTAGCTTTTGTTCCGATAACGTTTGTGACCCTGTTAAAGCAAGCCTTGTAGCCTCCTGCTTCAGTTGCCTCAAACAGTCCCCAAGAACATCTTTGTCAGTCATCATGAGCATCTTATCTTCRTGATGTGTTGAGTGTTTATAGGTCAGCTGATGCTGAGCTTTGCGTATGGTTGAGCTATTACTCCCCCAGCATTGTAGAAACAACAGGCTTCTGCCTGCCGGAACAGCCCGAATGGATCTGTTCAGGGTAATTGTGCATTCTGCAGATTATCTTAATTGCTCAAGAAATACAACTATTGATTCAAGATCCTATCCTTAAATCTCACTGAAAATGTTGTTATCCATTTCATTGGGTTTAGCTATCAAGAACTTGTGACTGCTCCCTTAAGGGGAAAACCTATGGGCTAGATTTCCTCTTTCAAGTATATGTAAAGGTCGTAGATAGRTATGTATAATATTACTTTAAGTCAAATCTAATATATCTTTCATTTATCATCAGTATGTATGTGGTTCGGTTGCTGCTGTTTTTACTGGGACAGGCAGTGAGATAGATGTTTCTTTGATCCTGTAAGGCGCTCGTTCCTGTGCTCCTGCCTCTTCCGTGAAACATTCGGATGCCCCTTTGTATTGTTGCCTGCATCCAGTTCTGTAACACAACAGGTTGGTGCTATAGCGTGTTACATATCATGCTGCATCTCTTTCCTACCCCCAAGAGGGGACATCACTGTTTACGTCCTGTGCTTACTGCATAGCGGGTATCCGTTAACACACATTAGATGCACAGAAAACTGGCATGYTGTTTATTCCACATCTTTTTATGACAAATTTATTGAGATATCATTTTGAATGGAAGGGCTGTAAAATATTCCTTATGTCTCTATTAATCTTGTGTTCGTTTTTTTAGAAGCAGAATTTTGTGACCTTTCTAGTGCTGGTGAGGTAACTCGCTTTTTCCTTTTGTTCCAGTTTAGACTGGGGTCTCTGAAGCTGCAGAAGGTTTCGAGGCCAGCTGAAGTGATTAAAGAGTTGATTGCTCATTGCCTGGACTGCTTAGAGAGGCTGCAGGCCAAAAATGAGCACCTGCAAGAGGAAAATGAAAAGCTCTTCCGTGATTGGAGTGACATGGAGAAACGGTGAGTTTAAAAGTGATTTCCTTAGGTTATTCTTTTAAAACTCTCTAGCACATAGTCAGCTGGTGCAGGCTTTACTGATTGGCACTGTTCAAGTTATATCTCCAACAAAGCACACAATTTCTCTTCTCTTGAAAAGGTATTTTGAGCACAGTTACTTACAACCTGTTGTGTCTGTCCCTTATATCTGAAGCAGCTGATAACTAGACTTTTCAGATGAAGATGCTTTTAGCTTTATGCAGTACTTCATGCAGTACTTCATGCAGGGCCCTTTTATGCTCCTTAATCTCTGCTGTTCTCATGGCATGGTTTTGTGCRGGAAAGAAGTTCCCAAATCTGTTTTGTCAAGCAGCCAGAATTGATGAACAGGTATGCTGTTATAGGAAAAAGTTATTTTGTTTATTTTGTGAGAGGCTAATATTTTAATTCCCATTGCATTTATGATTTAAATTGCCTCCTACTGCGCTCTATTATAAAGTTATCTATGCATGTTTTAGTTGCTTAGCATAAAACACCCAGCATAAACAAGTTGGAGATCTCTCTACTTCTCCATGCAAAGCTTTTTCTACGAAGATGGATGAAAGAAAGTAGCTAATTGATGTTAATCTACCATGAGAAAGAAGAGGTAACTTTGGGGAGGAGTTGGGTTTGTTTCTGCCTCATTAAAACAAGTAACAGTTTTTCCTGACAGTCCCCCTGACAAGCATATGGCTGTCCTAAATAGTGCTTTATTGCCCAGCAGTGCAACGAACAGTGATGTGCTCTGTAAGCAGTACATGGGGCTGCATTACACGCTCTTGTGCAACACAGGCACTGGTGCCTGTATCAATTTCCATGGTGCTGGGGCACTTCTAAAGGGTATTCATAAATTAAAAAAAAAAAAAAAAAAATCACAATTGCTTGGCACCCTGTGATCTCTCAGGGGAACTACCCTACAGCTTTGGAAAGTGGTGGTTTTTATATTTTGAGTTGTTGAATTACCGTTTTTATAAAATAAGTGCCCAAGGTTCCCACAAAGCTTTCTCTATGCCCTCTAAATGGAAGTACAAATAATTTTCATCGAGTGGACTTTTTCTTTATTTTCTCCCTACTTCAATCTCTCCCACTTTATTTCTTTGCTCTTTGAGCTCAAATGCTGGAATGCTGGACCAAGGTGGCTGTGAGTTCCCTAGGGAGACGTTTTGTTCAGTCCTGTCCTTGGTCACCAGCCGTGGTGTCAGGCTGCAACACTGCCAGGTGAAACACCAGGGAGCAAGTGTGTAGGTGTGAAGAACAGCCTTTTTCTCCTGGATCTCAAGCATAATCAGCCACAGAATTTCACATTTTAGGTTCTTGTAAAGGAAAAAAAAAAAAAAAAAAAAAAGATTCCCTGCATCCTGAAACCATTAAAAGATTAAAATGTCTATTCTAATCTTTATACTTTCTTATTTGTTGGGAGTGCTTCTAGCAGAAGCAATAACTCCCCGAATTTTCCCTGTTTTGCTTATTGTGAGGATCTAACATAGGGTTTTACCTGGACAAACATCTCTCTGTTTTGGGAGATGACTCATGCGTGGACAGCATGAGTATGAGACTTAGCTGGCTAATTAGACTGCATAACAACCAGATCTAAAATAAAAATCTCTAAGACACTAGCTGGCAAGATCCAAATAGAGGGGGATTTCACTGAGGTTACATCACTGTTGTCATTAATTAGGAGCTGAAATGAATTGGGTTCTTGATGTCCAGCTACTTTCTGCAACATAGAAAAGCTCTTTTAATGCTAATGTATTCAGGCTCCTTGTGTGGTATGTATATATAGACATTTTCAAAAGGATTATTCTGAAAATGCTGCAAGTGTGTGCCAGTATGTGTGTGTATGCATGCCTCAGAGGTAGGTGAGTTGAAATTTCATTGCAGGATAGCTAATACTTTTATATAGATAATAATATTCTTTAGCAAACTAATGTCTAGGCCATTAAAATTGAAGTTACATTTTAGATTTGTATGTGGTTTGCATCAAATGCCTAAAATTAGTATAGGCAAACTCTAATCAAAACTGTTGACCACAACACAAGTCGACAGCTATAGTGCCTGTATGCCTGAACCACAAACAGTTTATATAAAAGGTAGGCCAGGTATTTTGATACTAGAAATGACTCTTCAACATTAGCTCCTCGAGATTCAATCCTATTACTGATTGTGTGGGAGAAGGAAGGATGTAAAATGGAATAAAGAGCTAATGTAAGAGTAACAGTTACTAAGCAGCACTGAAGAAAAGCATAAGAAGCAGGAATGTAGATTTTTTGTTGGTGGTGTGTGTGTGTTGTGGGGGAAGATGTAAATGCCAATAACTTATTTAGGTTGTGTTATATAGAGGTTAAAAGCTGCACAGATGCCTTATTTTCTTAATTGTAAGTCCTAGTGATTTCTAATACTAGCTGTTTTCAATAAGCTGTGCAAGCGTTTTGACTGCCATCAACTTGAGGTTATCTGACACATGAAATACATGTATAACAGATATCGAAGAATACAGAAACTGGCAAGCATATGCAAATCAACACAGGCATTAACTTTACTTATTTGAAACCTCATTTATTTGCCTTATACTTGAAAGATGTCTTTGAGATGAGCAGCTTCTTTACTTGGCCTGGGGAGCTGATATTTCAGCAAGACAAATCAAATGCAGGCACAAGCATGTGACAAATTGCAATGAAAGAGGGTTTTTTTTTTTTTTTTTTTTTTTTTTGTAACTGATGAGGTATTGGAATGAAACCCAGCCAGCTTTGCTTTGTGGTCACGTAATTCAGGTAACACATGCCTGAGTGACTTCTAAAGATGCTGCAGCCTTACAGCCAGAGCCGTCCTGTGCTCCTGCTCCTGGATAATTAACATATCCCTGCTCCCAGGCAGCGGAGGACTCTTGCTTTTTACCATTCTATTTTTCTTTAGCATCATGTGTTGTATAATAAATTTGCAAGTATAACATTATTTTAGTATTATTTCACATTAATCCTTCTCTTGACTGTTATACTAAATCAAAGTTGCATCACCATCTAAAAAATTTTATCTTTACATATGAATTTCTTTAAACAGGAAAATCCAAAAAGGTGTTGAAATAAATGAAAATAACATATACAATGAATGTAGGTGATAGTATTAGTTCATTTTATGTATAATGCCCTCCTATTTAATAATTATTTTTAAAAGCTTATTTTATTCTATGCATGTATTCTGTGTAGATGTTCCCAGGTGCTACTATTTGGTTTCCCAGAGGACCACAAAGTTGACCTAGTCATGCAATATGTTTCTGTATCATAGTTTTGAATGTTAAGGTAGTGTCGGCTTTACTTCACTGGGCATTTACATAGTTATATGAATTTTCATCTGTAGTTATCTTTGCAGGATTTGAGAGCCTCACTGATATTCTCTGATGTGACATCTTTTTGGCCAAGTTAAAAAAATGTCTCTAATAATGTAACTATTTAAACTAGCCTCAGCTGCTCTGACATAGACCAGCTCGTTAGACAAAACAAAGAGTAGTAAGCATTTCCTTCAATTAGTATTGTGCTACAGAATGACATTTTCTGAATGATTTGATAAAGCCAGACTTGCATGTTTTGCACAAAAATGTCATTTCTTATTTTTTCTCTATATAATAARAAAAAAWTTCAATCATCAAGTAACCATTTATTTTCTTTTTTAATAAATTTCCTTTTAATAAAAATCCTGTTTTATCACTGTGGCAATTTCTGTCCTTTCTATTCTCCTTCCATTAGTTGATCGAGAGCCTTTTGGTCTCTGTGTTTATGGTTCTTTGTCTGTCGCTTTGGTGTTTTGTCTGTTTGTTCCCCACTAAACAGTTAAATTTTTCCATTTAAAGGTGGAAAGTCTCCTGGTAGTTGATTAGTACATATGATCTTTCATTTAGGAATTATTGAACCGATCTATATGGTAATGATGTTCTGCTATTTGCATTTAAATTAGATGAATTATTTATCAGCTATCAAACATATCCCTAAAGCATAGCACAGTAAACTAAATGAAATTATTTTCTATTGTCCTTTTTCTTGTATGTGTTTTTGACTCTCCTCCCCTCTCAAAAAAAAAAAAAAATCAGCATTTATATAGGAAATCTGTTGAAATTTCTTATTTATGAATTAACTTTAAAAATTTGTTATATATTAGGATTTGTTTTATACCAGAGGCATGCCTTCGAAACTTTGTTTTAATCATTCTTAAATCGATTGGTTAAAAGATTGTGTTTGTAAGTTGTTACTATTTGCTCTAATAATATAATTACCACAGTCAGGATTAGCAAGTTATACATTTGATTCCTTGTTGTTTCCTCTTTTTGAACAGAGCTATTAAAATGTTTARATTGCAATCCAGCTACTGAAAAATTGTGAGACAGCACATATATATGAGTTTATATTTTCTTATATTTTCATTGTGTTTAATTTTCATTCAGATGCACACTTAAATGTTAAAAAACTGAAGTTTTCATTCTGAAGATAATAATAACCTTAAAGTGTATTTTTATTTATATTGTAAAAATTTACTCCTCCACCCAGTAATTTCTGTTTAATTTGGGGAATTTTTTTTTTCTTAATCTAATGGTGGGCTGCAAGTATCCTAGAATCTCAACTGTTTGTCTGTCTAATTCAAACTGAAATGCACAGCATAGGATTTGTTAATATTGCATTTGTTTGAATGCCAGTAGGGGATTACAGCTGCCTTGGGGTTCAGCTCCGTGATCTGCCGAGCTTTGCCRAGAAGTCGTTTCTCTGTCTTGCTTGTTGACGTGGACGTTCAAGGTGGTTGATGGAAAACAATTGGGCAGAAGTCCACATATCGCTCGTCTCTGCCTCTGGAGTCCTGAGGCAGGAGCTCAGGAATGCTCCGAGTTGCCCAAAGTATTTGCTGGGCATGTCAGCCAGTGCTGACACCCTTTTGACTCCGTTCATATGCTAAAGTGCAAGTCAGAGTGTRTATGCCAGATTTGGGGCCTGTCAAGCTCAATCATATCTACCGTAATCTCATTATATGTGTCCTGCTAAGCTATGTGCACTACAGTGKATTCAGCATTGCCACTAAAAAGCCTGTACTATTTAACTTCTGTTTGCCTGAAAATCATGTTTGGAAGGACTCTTAATAAAAAGCATGAATTGAGCATTTTCCCCATGGACATGTTTTTTCATAGATAAGTTCATTGCACTTTTCTCTAAATAAAGCTGTTTCTGGGCTCTTTCAGGTACAAGGTGCTGGTGTCTAGTTGTACAGTTTTGTGTGATGTGGTATAGAAACTCCTTTAGTAGAAAGAACTTTTTGAACTTTTTTTTAATATTCCAGAAAACACATGTAGTTTTAAARAAGAAATGATATGGTATATGAAGTGACAGTCAATTTTGTGTTGCAGACTTGAAAAATGTGTGGAAGCTAAAGAAGAACTAGAAGCAGATCTTTATAATCGGTTTGTTCTAGTGCTGAATGAAAAGAAGGCAAAGATAAGGAACTTACAGAAGTTGTTGCATGAAGCTAAAGAATCCGCAGCAGATGCACCRAGTACAAGGTATTTGTTAATTCCCAGAGTTACTTGTATCATGTCTGATGCACGTGTCTTCAGTTCCTTGGCTGTAGAGATGAATGATATAGCATCTCTTTCATGGATAAACGCTTGGTTATCCAAACCTATGCATTTAGTCTTGAAAGCAAAGAATTCTTTAGAGTGTTAGTGTAAATAGCTATGGTTATGGGTGCTGTAGCCAGGAAATAAGTAGTTGTTCAATTCCTCTACCTTTATTTTCTCTTCTGTTGTAGTTGACTTTCCTAACGCAACGTCCCTCTGCTGTTTCCATACATGGCACTTGAATCCACCTACCCTCAGTTCTTCAATTCCTTTTGTCCTTTGGGAAATGTAAATACCCAAATCTGAATTTGTACTCTAAATATCTGTATTAATGTACTTGTTAATTAAAAAATATTCAGAGAAGATGTAGTATTTCAAGGATATGATATGCTTTAATTTGTCTCCTATTTCCATCCCACTTTTTGGTACCTTATGCTTAATTTATCAATATCTATCTTTGTATCTTTGCATCTTGTCTATTCTACAGCATGGCCTATATTATCTTGTWTTCATAGTCTCTATTAAGACCGCAGAAATAATCATAAATTTGTTACGGGAATGCTAGATGGAAAAGCCTTTTTTTTCAATCTCTTKTTTTTGCTTGGAGATAGCACTGCTACAGTTGAGACAGCTCCAGAGAGAGAACAGGAGTATGATGGTAGCACTGATGAGGAAAGCGAGAATTTAAAGCAGGCCTCATTACCAGCAGGTAAGAGAGAATGTATTGTCATTGGGAATTGTTGTGGACAGGAGAATTACTTTACATGAATAAACCTTAATGAAGACAAAATACTACCTGACAGATTGCCCTGTGACAAGCCAACCTACAAGCCTCAAAAATACTTTTTTGAGGCAGAGTATAATACTGACATTTTCAAATTAAAGGAAGTTAAAAAGCATGTTGCGTGAGTGAAGCTACTGTCAGTTTCTTTAAAAATGACAAATTACATACTTGGCAGAACTAATGACAGTCTAACAGTATCGGAACTATCAACAATTCCATTTTAGATTCTAGGAGTCATGTGTACACAGGGAACTGCTCAAATGTAAAATCTGGCTCCTGACAGTTTAGGTAGTGTTTGAAGAAAGGAAAAAGGGGAGGTTTAACCACAATAAGAAGGGCTGTGCACTCATTCTGCATTACATAAATGGAAAAAAAATATAATTATAGCAGAATTAATTTTAATTTGCCAATGAAATTTTGGCTTTATGAAGGTTCTCATAAAACTTAATTTGACTTAATTTTTCCAGGACTGGGGAAAAGTGAAGTAAATGGGGTACAGCAACTGCCATTCTGTAGTGTAATCTATCTATTTATATATATATTAAAATGTGGGTCACGTAATATTTTGGCATATTGTGCCATGTACTTGGAATATGCAGGATGAATGCCACCAAAGTTTAAATACCATGACAGCTGCCCTATTACTACTATGCACTTCTTTTCAAGTTGGCTGATTTTACTATGGGTTCCATCACTGGAGTTTTTCATTTCTCCTGCAGGTAAAGACAACTACTTGATAAAACTTTAACTATGTATGTTAAGAACCAGGGATGTTCAAAACCTCACTACAAATGGTATCCAACTTGGTTGTTCATAGGAGCAAGTATTTCAAAGCTCTCTAATAAATGTGCAGCAGATAGAGCTGCTGACAGGTTTATAAGAGTGCTTGCACAAAAACAATCTGCAAATATCTAAAATAAGTTGTTTTCTGTTACATGTGCCCTTCAGTTCTAAAATCTTTGCTTTAAAGCAGCATTTGGTCAGTTCAGATAATGTAGTGAAAAGTACATTTATTTAACAAAGCACAGAAAAGTGAAAGGTATTGATTCTTCTGCTGGGTTCAGTAAGCCTTGATTGCTTTGATAGTTTAGAGGCAGATGTGTGACTTAAAAAAGAAAAAAAAAAAAAATTCAACCATGAGTGTCTGGGCTGAGCAATCATCAAGATCGTAGGCAGAAATAGGCAGCAACTGTGTTTTTGAGTTGTGAGAGTAAGCCTTCTGTTGCCTTTGAGAGAGAAAATGTTCAGCATTCTGCTTGCGAATTTGCAAGTTCTTTCAACTGCAAAGTTTAAATATAGCGTTAAGGCTATAAATTTTGTGAAACATAATCAAGGGKTTTTTTTGTTTSTTTTTTACACAGAAACAGTGCGTGAATCCACATAGTGAGTAGCACTTTAGGTCAAATGATGTTTCTCCATGATGTTACCACTGTAAACCTTTCTCTTTCCTTAKGAGTGAGAAAGAGTGTTTGGGAATGTTTTAATAGGTATTTTTGAAAGCCACAATCAAGGAAAAAGGTTCTAGTTTATAAACTACCTAGGAGGAAGGTGAAAGAGAGGGTATATATGTGTGTGTACAGATAAATAAGTATAAATCAAAATGTTAGCATGTCTTTGTATGCAAGCATGTCCAAAAGATTAAAAAAAAGAGGAGACTGATGTTAGCATAAAAATAGCAACTATAGGAAATGACTAAAGAAAGCTAAAGAATATGAAGGCACAGATCTCAGGCCAGGAGACAGAAGGCTATTGACTAACCTTCAGGTAAGCTGAGAGCAAATATGCACTGTTAATGACCTCTTAGTGTAATAATAAAAAATCACTATTAACCCTGAAAAAGCAAGCATGTTCAGCAGATATTTTTGTTCCGTATTTGGCGTGTAGAGGAAAATGGATGTGGATTGRCATGACTAGCTTCCATTCTCATAGCAAATAAGGGGCAAATGAAACAGCAGCTGCAAAATACACACATTTTAGAAACAGCAAGTCAAGATACTTTGAGCTGTAGTATTTGTAAAGTTGGCAAGGGATTTTACTTGGCTACCAGTGTCGATCCTCCTAGAATTTTCTGGGCACTAARGGCATTTCAGGGGATTTGGGAACAACTGCCAATATTAACACCATGGAAAAGTGAAGGGTTCATTCAAATGTAGGTGTGTCAGGATGATGTTAATCTGAGTCAACTCGTAGAGCACGGCTTCATGAAGAAAAATATTAAGAATGATTAACTGTAAAGATGTAGAAACTAGGGTTTGCAAACTAGCTAGGTGCTCAAAATGAGATCACCAGCTGTTTGATGAAAATAATATCAGTCAAGTAATAGGCCTAGACGTTTTATTTACAAATTTGGTATAGGAAAATGAGCATAAGGCATGATAAGTGGGTTCTGAAATGAGGTACTTTACCTCAAAATGTAGTTGTAAATGGAAAGCTATCACTCACCATATCTACTGACTGAGAGAYTGAAGATATATAATTTATATAAACCTATTTGGGTTTCATGATGCACTGGCTATAAACAAATAGTATTCATTCTAATACTGTGTAAGACAGGGTAAATAACTATTGGAGCAATTTAGAGTAGGTTATGGTAGGTAAGTTTTTTTTAAAAAAGACAAAATCTGCTAGATATGAAAATTAATTTAAAGAAATCCATAACTTCTGTTATATTCAGCATTGGAATCGGTTATTGCTATACTAGCTTTTCCTTTGCCTATAACATCAGATGAATAGTTAGTTAAAAGCATTTTGTTTCTACAGAATTTTATGCTACAAAACTGAGGTATTCTACTTGCACATGAATTCTCAACAAGGCTGACGAGCAGAGTTTCAACCACTCCGTCACAACAGGCTGCATTTATCTGTTCAGATAAATTTTGTTAGGATCTATACCTTACAGAAGAAGTTAACCTGTAACATAAAAGTAAATCAAAAAATTGTATTCTTTTTGGTGCTTACAGTTCAATTAGTAGATATATTTTATGGTTTGTGGTTTGACTGCAATGTCTGCTTCATGGCTTAAAGCCAAAATCAATTGAAAAGTGGTAGTTTTTGTCTCAAACCTTCACACCCTTGTAGTTGATGCTTTTGGTGCTATAAAAATGCCAATTAAAATTGAATTACAGACAAGAAAAATACTGATAGGAGAAGCGCAGCTTTCATAAAAAAAAAAATGCTGTATGGCTTTCTATACGGCAGCTTTGTCCATCATACCGTGTGCACGGAGAAAACTTATTTGGCCTGTTAGTACTGTCAGTGCAYGACTGAAAATAAGAGAAAACTCTCACTGCAGTGCTACTGCTGTTTTGACTAAATTCCAGTAATTTCATAGATGCCTCATGTTTGAGGCTGATGATACAATGTTTACTGCTGTCCTGCTTGTTTCTCTTCCCCATCACATGCTGCAGCACCACTAGTCTTGCACTTTAGCTCCTTAGCCCAAACTGCAGTGTTTTGTTGTGCTTGTCTGGCRCCTAGCATTTTAGGGTCGTTGAAAGGATGCCAGTGAAGGGAAAGTTCCTTTTTCTCCTGGGAACTTGGAGACTGTTGGGACAGTTATATGCTGCACTACATATAGSTGTGGAGATTAATCTAGCAGGCAGAAGGCAAGGGAAGAGTAAGTTCCTGATTTATTATTGCTATCATCAGGACCAACATGAGGCTTGAAAACTGTGCGTCGAAGACTAGAAAACATGTTCTTATCACCACCAACACTGAGGTAAAGGGATGCCCAGGTTTGACGAAAAAGATAATTACGGGCCATATTGGCATCAGAACATGTTTTAGACTGCTTTGCCATGAAATAGAAAGGAAATGTTCATGCTATGTAYGATTCTGTTATATGTGGCAGCCTGTTGTGAAGCTGCTGGGGACCAATTAGCAGTCAGCTTTCTCTCTTTTTTTCTATTGCTCATTAATTCCTTAGTTATATTTCAKATTGAAATCAATGGAAGTTGCTGTTCTTTGAGAGTAAAGAAGGCCCTCGTGGTCTGGTCTGTGGATTTAAATGAAATTTGGGTTGAATGAAATTTTATGTTATGCATTAGTTGCCAGACATAAGGAAATAGTCTCTATTAAGTGAATCCCCATTTTTTTCTGCAATCAAACATTTCTACATGCTTCCTTGGGAACACCAGATCCTGATTAGGTTCTAATAAACTTGCTGAAATGCTCTGAATAAATATTAGCAAGCACCTTGCCATTTCCCACTGTGTTAATGTGCAAGTGTTCTCATCCCCTTCATTCAGGTTCCTGCCTTGGGGATTAAACGTTGTGCCTTCAGGAGTCTATGGCCCTTTACATTTAATTAGTTCTCTTGTGTAGTCGAAGCCACCAATGTCTCAGTGCTGCTGGTTAATAAGCTTTAATCAAAGTTATTAAAAAAAAAAAAAAAAAGCCTGTTATTTTAGCACCCAACTGTGCTGTTGCTGCTGAAGTTTCATCTGTCTGTTTTAAAGCCCATTTTTAGAACTTCACTATTTTAATTGACTTCAGGCTTTTTTTTTTTTTTTTGGTCAAGATATAATTAGAATTTAGAATTGGTTCATCCCAAGGAATAATCTCTCCTCTTCCTTTTCTTAAATTGCTGAGACATTTTTTCTGAAGTTCTGATATGGATCCACTCTTTATGTAACCTGATGTTTTAATGCCTGTAAAACACTTGACCTTGCAGAACTCCTTCCTGTCTCTGCTACACGAAATGTCATAACCCTCATACAGTCACAGCACAGTTTTCCTATATTACTATTTTCCTTTAAAAATTCTAGTGTTATAAATATTCTGCTAGGAGGGGAATTAATAAGGTATTAATATAAGACATTAATATAAAATCATTACAACTGCATAAATCTATGCTTTTCATGGTATATATCTCAGTATTTGAAGTAGTTAAATATGGTCCTCTGAACAGGTTAATATTTATTCTG